ATATATATATTTAAATATATATATATATTTAAATATATATATATATATATATATATATATATATATATATATATATATATATATATATATATGAAGGAAATAAATGCGTGGAATGGAAATTGCTAATGAACTCTGGAGCCTTTGAGATTTGAAGATTAGCAAGCACTTCTGGCGTTTTACACAAATGTAATTTTATGCTTTACTTGCTTTAAAAACTAATTTAACAATGTTGTTTGTGGTTTTGTATTTGTATCTATCTTTCTTGTGGGAATGTTTGTTTTTGTGTGTTTTTTGTTGTGTTTGTTTTGTGGTTTTATTTTTGATTGTTATGTGTTTAGTTTTGTGTGAATGATTTTGTATGCCATTGTTTTTTCTTGCGCGTTAGTTCATCATGATGATCGCTTTTATATTTTTTTTGCATCATTATCTGGCAGATCCTAAACAGTGCAAAAAAATAATAAAATTTCCTAGTTTTTGAATTGTTTATCAATTGGTTTGTTTTATTACAAAAATGTATATATAGATTTAAGAATAAGAGAACGGAAGAAAAATATAAAAAAATAAATAAAATTCTTGCGGCACTCTTCATAACGTCGAAGATTGAGCTGCTTTTTATCGCTCAGTTGAGAATTATCTCCAAAAAAATGCTCATCCACTTTTTCAAGTTTAGCGTTCAATAAAAAATAATAAGAAAAACAAGCAAGGTAATATAATACTATGAAAGTTTTAAATATATGAATATATATATATATATATATATATATATATAATAATTCGTTTTTTTATTTATTACAATTTTATCTTCAATACTTTTTTAAAGGCATCATCAACAAACACACAATGCATGCAAACACACGTGGAAATAAATGCATTCAACAACTTTCTTTCTCTATAATATTCTATATTTACAATGTATATATATTTCTCTGATATACTATTCTATATAAAAACACACACAAACTTACAGATATATATATATATTTATTTATTTATAAAATCTAGAAAAATTCTAGCGTTGGATAGTTTTTTTTACATTTCTCGATATTTCTAACCAAATTCTTGGCATCATTAAAAATAATAATAATAAACTATCCAACGCTAGAAACTCGGTAGATTTCATAAATTACTGCATTAATTATGGTCCTGTACCAGCATATAAATATTGTCGGAAATTTTAAAATAATAAATAATAAATTAATGAGGAGGAGGATTTTTAAAGGATGACAAAGCCCCACGTTGGGCGCCAATTGTCGGAAATTTTAAAATATAATAAATTAAAATGATAAGAGGAGGTTTTCAAAGGATGACAAAGCCCCAAGTTGGGCGCTAATTGTCGGAAAATTTATAAATGAAAACAATTGAAACAACTGGTGGTGTGAGGTAATCTCCTCCTCTATCTTTCTCAGGGAATTTTTGTATGGTCCGACAATAATTTTTGTGTATATTTTTATCGTGAGTTCGACCAGTCCTGTGTGGCACTGGGCTTTTTCGAATTATATGATTTTACTGAGTAACACACGAACGCGTAAAAATATTCGATAACAATTTTATTAATCGAAGGAAGTAAATAAAAGGAATTGAACTAATGAACTCTATAATAATGTAAATGTCAATGAACAAACTGGAATACAGGAATTAGATCTCTTCTTGTTGGGTCTTCAACTTGGGATATGTTTCTTTCCGTTTAATCGTAAAACCTCGACGTGTGTATCCGATGGTGATGTCGATACAACTCCAAGAAATAAATAAAAAAATGAATGCGGAAAAATCGGAGCCTATGGAAATTGCAAGCTGCGTGTGAAACTATACCAATGAGTATAGAACCCAGCAAAGAACCCTAGGTCCACAAATAGCACAAGAAACAAAACAACGAGGCGGATTGGTTTTCACAGAACCCAAGGCCTGTTTTCACCGGGCCTGTCTGTCAGTCGGTCGGCTTTCGCACAACCCTGGCCTGTTTTCACTGGGCCGTCGAGTCTGATCGGCTTTCGCACGACCAACACAAGACAACAAGAGTCAGAACAACACTGGAAACAAATTGTGTGACTCTAGTACGCGTGCGAAACTATGCCAATGAGCATAGAGTCTCGTACCAAATCCACTTTTGAGAACTTAAGACGTTTCTGAAACTATGCCAATGAGCATAGAATCACGCGTTAAGTCTCTTAGGGACCAGAAGAGGCACTGATTATTCGAAGCTGCCTCACTAGTCAACCCAGTTTTTCTAATTCTTTTCACACCCTTCCTTATCAAGGCAAAATTAGATTTTGTTTCGGGTGTTTTAAAATATAAAAATTTACAAGGCATGTCCAATTAATCAGAAAAAGTATTAATTAAATTTTAAAATAATTTGTAATAATTTATGACGTCATCTAAATTGCAAAACAAAGAAAATCATCATCACCTATCGAGTAAATTAACTTGCACCATGCCCCCTATCGAGTGAATAAATTTCGCGTTGAAAATTTTGCAGTATTTTTAGTCAGTATTATTTCATAATTCTGACACTATATATAAATATAAATAAATATATATATATTTGTTGAATTAAAGTTAATCATGTGTTTCTTTTTTAGAAGAATATTGGTATTATTTAGTTGAATATTTATTGCTGGTGTACGTTTATCGATGAAAATTGATTCTGTTATCTTTAATTTAAAGTATTCTCTGTTGTAATAAATTGCTTTGGTGTTATTGTCTCAAATTTTCCCTGTTATAATTGTGTTAAGTAAAAAGTTGTAAGACGTGGGCGAAATCGTCTGACTGCGTGTTGATTGTTGGTTTATTATTGAGGATGAGAATAGCTTCTTTTATTTTGAGTCTTGAGGGACGACGTTCATTACAAAGTATGCTAGTGTTATTACCAAGAATTTTTCGAGTAACTGGTATATTGTGCTGCTTATTGAAGTGATCCACGTCTTACAACTTTTTACTCAATATCGCGACGTTGTACTGCCTCAATTGCCAAACGTCATCAATAGACAGCAACTACACACCAAATATAAATACGAATATAACACACAAGAACGCACCATTAACAACAATACGTTTGTCTCTTCACGCCATAAAACTCAAACAATTTGTTCACTAACTTCATTATTTGCCACGCCTTAATATTTCTTTATACATATTTATTGCTAAATAATATTATATCCAGTTGTTAAATATCTAATAATTCTTCAATAAATTGTCATATCATTAAATATTATTATCGACTTCCCATAATTTCTGCATTACTTCTTGTCACTATGCTAACTTTCTACACTTCAACTACGATAATACACAAACAATTGTGTTCATAATTTTTCTTTTAATTTTATTCGTTTATTTTATTTTCAACAATATAATGAGTTAATTTTAAAATATAGGTTGTTATTCATTTATTTATTCATTTTAATATCTAATATTCTATTTTCTATTTCTTATAATTTATATTATTAACTCCTGATTTGGTTTTACAATCTAGGCTCCGACGATGGCATTAGCCGAAACGGCAGTCAGCCAAACTTCACAGTTTAATAAAGTTGAAACAAAACAGCTTCGTGTTGTTGAAATTTTATTTAAAAAACTTCTAACTGTAAAATATATTAATATATATTGTCTTCAATATATATATATATATATATATATATATTTATATATATTGATATATTTATATTAATAAAAATATATTAATATATATTGCCTTCAATATATATATATATATATATATATATAAACGCACGCTTACATTTAAGACATGTATTTAGCTTCAATTCGTTAAAAAATTTCTCTTTAGAAATTGTTTGAGCTTCAAATCCGAACGTCTGTTTGCATGAATTCTTGTAAGCGGTTGTTTTTCAAAATTTTCAACTAATTTTTCGTTAGAGTCTTTCAACTTCTAACTTTGCTGAAGCTTCCAACTTTAGCAGCTAATCTAGCAGATGTATGTATGTAGGGAGGTATGTACGTAGGTTAGATACGTTAAGGTATAAGTTATTTATCTTTAATGTATGTATTGTATGCATGCCCGCATAAACGGGGGGACAAGATTTATGGTACTATTACTGACGAACTGGCCCACCATGGCCCTCTCCCAAATCCACCATTGTTTATGTATGTGTATGTACGTGTATTTATGATGCATGCATGAATGCATGTATATATGTATGTATGTATGTATGTATGTATGTTTGTATGTATGTATGTATGTATGTATGCATGTATGCATGTATGTATGTATATAAGTATGTATGTTTGTATGATGCATGCATGTATGTATGTATGTATATATGTTTGTACGTTTGTATGTATGTTTGTATGCAAGCATGTATGTATGTATGTATGTAGATACCTACATACGAATCCTCCCGCAGATTAACTGCTTCGAACTCGTTAAGCTAAAATCTAAAAAAAACTGAAATAAACAAAATGATTTAAAACAGGAGCACTTTGTATCTTCCTTCTCAATGATCTCTCCTCTCTTCATCCGCGATTGTCTTATTACCATTTACTTTTCTTCACTCGCTTCAACTCTCTCTCTCTCTCTCTCTCTCCATCTTTTCCCTTTCTTCATCTCTCCCTCTTTTTCCATCTCTCTTTCCCTTTCTTTTTCTCCATTTGTCCTCCCTTTCTCCCTCTCTCCATCTCTCTCTCATTAATTTCCTTCTACCACATATTAATTTCCGTAATTTATTTGCAGGAACATGTTCATAAATAAAACCCAGAGGAACACAAACTGCATGCAAAATATATGAAATATATGGAGTAATTTATGACTATTGAAAAGCGGAATGTAGATTTGTGAGGATGTTTTTAAAGTCCGCTGCATTAAATTCATCAATATTTTTCATCAATATCATCATCACACTGTCTGATTTATCGATGGCTCTTATAAATAACATTTTGATGTCACAATCACTATCATCACACTTCTCAACTTCACTAACGCCATCATCATCGTCACCACCACCATTGTCATCAACACTACTGACATCATCATCATCACCACCACCACTTACTGACGACGACCAGCATTCCGTTATCATTGTAGACCTTCAGGTAGATCCTGCCTCTCCTCTCCGTGTGGTCGATGCCGCACATCTTCGGCACGTTCGGCTCGCACTTCTTGTGGACGTTCATCTCACAGGCTGGCGGTTCAAATGCAACAGTCAGCACATCAACTCGTAAAATCCTACTCAAACATCCATAATCAATTATATGCAAACATTCAATCATATGCAAACATATACAATCATATACAATCACATGCAAACAATTCAATCATATGCAAACATATACAATCATATGCAAACATACACAAACATAAAAGTATACAAACATATAAAAACATAAAAAAAATTGTAATTATGCGTGTGGATGTGTTGACTATTTGCGAAACATAGTTAACACTAATCACTACTGGCTAAGATGATAGTCACTGACTACTTTTTTAATTATTTTTTCAAATTTAAAATTACATTTTCAAATTTATTTAAAAAAATCATTTATTTTTCAATAAATACCAAAAAAACAGAAAGCAAAATTGTACTTGTATTTTATAAAAGCAAATTTGAATGTTGAGGTTGATTTCGTTGCATCCACGGTTTAGAAGCATACATAGTTGAAGATTTAACTTTCCAGTTGTCCGTTGTTTCAATATTCTTACAGAAGAAAAATCAAATGGTAATCTAATCTTTTCTTTTTCTTTGACTCTATTATATCCAGTAATCTTTCCAATTTGGAGTTTTTTTTCTTTTTTTTTGCAGCAGTGCTTCAAATACGTTGTACGCCGATGGGAGGTCCAATACTTGCTAAGCCGCATTTTGCAGATTTGTATTATGTAAATATCACACTATAAACCAGCCATGGATTGGCTTTAAATTTTTGATGAAATAACATTTTTAATGTTCCCATCAACATGATTATTTTATCGAAATTTTCGCACAAATCTATCTGATCGCAATTGAAGCTGGCTCCTTCCCTTGTTACTTACTATCATTCCTCTTCATCATAGTATCATGGCATCCCATTATATTGCACACACAATAGGAAACATAATTGTTAATATTGTATATTACAAGCACACATAGCATACAACTGTGCATACATGCACATATACACACGTACATATGTACGTAAATCAGATCGTCACACCACACAACACCAACATCATTACATCACATCACTCCCAAACATCACACATTCATTCCTGGGCAAGAGCAATGATAGACGTACAATAGGCCAATCCTGAATTTTATTTGGTACTTTTCACGCACCTATCTCTACAACGCCGTATTTGATTTCACATTATAGCCGTCACAGTATCATCATGTTTGAATTGTTTGTAGGTTTGTAGGTACGTCTGCAAGTTGGTAGGTATGTAAGTAATTATGTTCGTCTGGTAAATAAAAACCAGAAACTAGATTTGTTTGTTTTTCACTTCTTTCAACATTTTTTACATTTTATTAACTAATTGGGTGCTAAAAAATTTCATTTCATTTTGTATGTTATGTAAAGTATGTTTGGTGGGATCACCTTGCATTCGATCCAGGTCCCTGCAAAACGGGATCAAGCGTACTTAAACATTAGGCTATTATGCCGGCCAACTGAACCGTAAATGCACGCTCGCGCATGTGTGTGCATGTACATCTATGTAAACTATGTAATAAAATTGAGTTCGAGTGTATTATGTATATGCTCGTATTACAGTGTGCATCTGTATGTATGTGTTCATGTACTTAGCATGTATGTCTGTTTATGTGTGTATGTACATTGTACATGTGTGGATTACTGTTATTATCAAAAATTTATAAAGCGCCTAAAAAACAAAAAGTTTCTCAAAAGCACTATCCATAACAGTAAAATAATAAAATACATGAATGGTCTAATCGTTTCAAATTAATAGATGTTATCTTTAACAAAAATTAATGTGTTTTCAGATTCTTTTTAAAGTCATCATTCTTCAACTCAGGCATTCTAAACTAATTTGGCAGACCATTCCAAACAACTGGTCCTGACGCAGCATGGCAGCGATCAGTAAATGGCAGAAGCAGGTTGCTAAAATCGGATCTCAACTTTAGACCAGTTGAAAGAGCTGGCTTCTTTTTGATTTTATTTGCCAAATAATCTGGCAAAAGCCCATTTACAGCCTTATAGATCATTATGCGGATTTTATAGACGATTTTTTTCAGTGTGAACCAATGCAGATCCTCCAAGATGGGCGTCACATGGTAGAATTTTTTACCACCGACAACAATTTTTGCAGCTCTGTTTTGCGGATGTGCAAGCATATGTACGTGTGTATATGTGCACGCATAGACATTTAAATAACTCTATTTTGTTTTGCCTCTAACTCCCGAGAAAGATGAAGTAATCGCTGCTCACGTTCTTGCTCGGTTGTCACCTGACAGCATGTAACTAACCTGACAACCGAGCAAGAACGTGATCAGGTTATATGCTGTCAGGTGACAACCAAACAAAAACGCAGACAGCGATTGCTTCACCCATAGACTTCTATATAGTATATTATATAGAAGTTCATGCTTCATCTATCCCGGGAGTTAGAGGCAAAACAAAATATAGTTCAGCATATAACCTGACAAGCATATAACCGAACCAGGGCTTATATGTGCATTTAATATACAATGTTAACCATTGTCTTTATACTATTCTTTGCAGCAAAATTTATTTTAAGTACGTCTCAATTTAAAGATTTTTAAAAACTCTGTCTTGATTTCGTGTGATAAGAGTAATTAAAAATATATGTATGTATGTATGTATGTATGTATGTATGTATGTATGTATGTATGTATGTATGTATGAATGTATGTATGTATGTATGTATATATATATATATATATATATATATATATATATATATATATATATATATATATATATATATATATATATATATGTCTTGGAGGATCTGCATTGGTTCACAGTGAAAAAAATCGTCTACAAAATTCGCATATATATATATATAAATATATATATATATATATATATATATATATATATATATACTATATATATATATATATATATATCAAAATATACATTTAATTAGATTAATAAATAAATTTTAATTCTCCAGCATCTTTCGCATTAATTTATTTATTGTTTTAATTTTTCAATTTTCTTTCAGTATACAACAACAACAACACACGTTTAGACGACATTTTCCCCGAGATCGGGGGTTGCCGTTTGGCTACCTATGATGAAACCGAAATACCCCTCGACGCCATCCACATCTGTCACTCGCCTCAGTATCACGCAACCCCGCTTTCACCCTGTCCTTCTCCACCTGCTCTCTCCATCCCAATCGCGGACGACCCCTTCCTACCACTCCTTCAACCTCGAACTCCAACGCTCGCCTAATCCCGACCCTTTCATCCCTTCTCAACACATGTCCATACCACCGCAATCTCGATCTCCTTATCAATGTCACAATGTCCTCATTCAGTCCCATCATTGACATCAGCTCTGTACTACTCCTCCAATCCTTCACTTTAACCCCACACATCATCCTCACCATAGCTCTTTCAGCCCTCTGCAGTACGCTTTCCTCCTCTCTCCCCAGCACCCAAGTTTCACCACCATATACCATCGCTGCTCTCACACATGCTTTATATACCCTCTCTTTCATCTTCACTGACCATTTCTTTCCACACAATACCCCACCAAGTTCCCTAAATTTCATCCATCCCACACGAACTCTAGCCGTAACAGCGCTCAAACATCCTCCATCCACGTTCAGCTTAACCCCTAAATAAACAAAGCTTTCCACTCTTTCAATACCACCACTCAACCCCGTCCTTGCGTCCGTCCTATTAATCACACCATGAACACATTTCTTACACTTGAACGTGCCTTCCACCTTTTTCAGTGCCCCCCTCACACCACTCTCTTATGCACCCGTTTTTGACATCCTATACACAATACCGAGTTAGCCTTCACTCTCTTGTCACATACCTCACAGGGGTCTATTTTACTTATCACTCGCTCCCCACCTCCCCACTCACCATTACCTTCGTCTTACCAATATTAACTTTTAACCATTAACTTTTAACCCTTTCTTTCAGTATCTCGATAATAAATTTTATTGGTGGATTGATGATGGCTCATATTTTTTATTGAAACATATTTATTGAAACATCTCCAGAAAGCTCAAAATGAACAAAAACCATACAATATACTGTTGAACTGAACTTATTTATTTATTTATATGAACTGAAGTAGGTTAAAAACAGGGATCTTGGAAATACTGATTTATATATTTATATTAAACAAAAAATGGTGGAGATTCTCTAAAACATGTACATCACACACACACACACACACACACAAACACACACACACATACTTACATACATACGAAAATATACTTACATACA